AAATCTAGATTGTATGTTGTTGTATATTTATGTTGATATTGGTAATGCTTTCCGTATCAGATAGAGCACGAACTCGGCGAGCTAATGTTTGCATAACGTTCATACTGATACCAATAGCCATATTAGTTTGTAAATAAATAACTGTAAATGATTGTGAAACGCTTGATTTTGAAAATATTATTGTTGCGTTTAGATTTATTTTAGAGTTTGTTATCCTTACTAATATTATAAATGGGAAAGTGACTACTAAACCGATTGCTTTGAATTTTTGCAGACGTTAAGTAAGAAATCCGGATTAAATAATAGGGTACTATTTATCCCTGAAAATTTTGATATTCCCGAGGGAAAACAAAAGTATTGGTATAGATGGCGCTGTGTGTATTGGCATATGTCACATTGGCTTTTTATTCTTTTCTGACGCTAGCGAAGCCGCGGGTAAAAGCTAGTTACAAATAAATGGTCTTCTTGAAGTCAAGTGGTATGTATAAATAACACTAGGGAAAGTAGTTACTAAGTCTAAGTCTGCAATACCTAACCTTTCGTCTCCCTTGAATGACGACACGTACACCTCAAACCGACCTCATAACTGACCTGCTGTAATAAACAGCATACATACATAATCATTCAGTTCTGCGTCGGCATTTAATTAAGTTCCTAGTCATACGTGTTGGGAATGACATAAACAAATTCTTCAATCAAATATAGGAATGTACCTATTTATGTTAAGGAAAATCCATAGTTTACATATTGACGTTAATAAGACAAAGGGTTGGTGAGATTTGGGAAAGAATGACAGTTATCGAGGATAAATGGGTAGAGGAAAGAAATGTATAAATTGGAATTGTCCTGGAATATCTTATTTCTATCACTAAATGATGGCTTTACTTACGTAGCTCGTATAGATAATTATAGAAATAAGAAATAATAATAATTCTTTACATACAACAATACATCAAGCTCTGTCTGCTGAACTAGGCGTTGATGATATTTTGTTATTGGTACCTAATAACATTAATCAATACACTAGATTGTATCAAAATCTACTCAGACATTTTGAGTTACTGTTCCTCAAAATTAAATATCAATCTTTTTATTAATTGACCAGTATTTTTAACTAGGATATCTCAAAAAAATATCCCAGAAGCACCAGTAGACAGGCAATGCGGAAGGTTAAAAATATCTCTATTGTTTGTGGCTGACTTGTCAAGGCTACATAAAACATAGTTAGGCACATTACTATTGTTTTACAAAAACCAACAAACAAACGTGGAAACCAACTTAGTATTTCTCCATTTGATATAATTATGTTAATCGAATTTATAAAACCTTTACATGACAAATAATAATATAATTGATTGCATGAATAATTACATAGATATAAATAATTTGCACGCTTGCTTGCAGGCTGAATACAGTGACTTAGAGTCACTTATACAGGTTATAAGATCTTTCCTGTAAACCTTGCAAATAAATGTTTTGATTTTGATTTTATACCTAACTAAGGCTTACTGGTCTTGTTGCGTCATTTGTCGAATGCATGCATGCGTCAAAAACTATAGGCGGCTTTAACGTCGCCGCTTCGAGGAGAGTTTTTATTGTTTTTAAGCAAAATGCAAGCATTTAACATTTGTAGGCCGCCTATTGTTTGTGAAGGATGGATGCATTCGTCAAATGATGATAATCGGCGAAGCATCATCGATTCATGGTAGATATCCCACCCAAACAAACGAAGCGCTTCGCATCAAGCTTCGTTGCGCGTACTGCGAAGAAGTGGAATTCTTTCCCGGAGTCTGTATTTCCTGAAGGGAAATCTGGGTGACTTCAAGGCCCGAGTGAATAAGTTGCTTATGGGACGACGTACTCCATCGTAGACGGCATCATCGCTTACCACCAGGCGGGATAGTGGGCAAACGTCGACCCATCCTTACTATATCATAATATTATGAATCGGAAAGTGAGTTTGTTTGTTTGTTCCACTTTCACGCCGTAACTACTAAACTGATTGCTTTGAATTTTTGCAGACGTAATTTTAGAAGTCCGGATTAAATAATAGGGTACTTTTTAACCCGGAAAAATTTGATATTCCCGAGGAAAAACAAAAGTATTGGTATAGATGGCGCTGTGTGTATTGGTATATGTCGCATAGGCTACTTTTTATCCTTTTGTGACGCGAGCGAAGCCGCGGGTAAAAGCTAGTCAAATATAAATAGAAATGACGCAACGTGGACAGTTACCCTAAGAACGTTACAATGCAGGCCATTTCACAATATGAATCCAGTGCAGACAATAACAGTATGTTTATATTGTAACGTCTGTGGAATAGCCACGTCAACATGTGTGTAAACACTGACTAAAATACATCGCACTGTTGACTTGTATCACTGTTTGTTAACTAGGGCATGGATATCATACGGATTTACTACGAAATATACAAACAGAATCAATGTACTGAGTCAATTGTTGATTATTCTGATTCAGCTGGTGGTCGATTTAAAGTTGTAATTGCAAATAAAGAAGTTAATTTTAGTTATTAGATTAGAGGAATCATAAAATACTTTCTCTAAAATAAGATATAATTTCTCCTGATCAATAAAATCGACTTCAACTCCCTCTTTTTTTTAAACCAGTTAATTATTAACATAACATAACATCACGCCTTTTATCCCCGAAGGGGTAGGCAGAGGTGCATGTGGTATACAATATAACACCCACTTTTCACTATTTATGTTATGAGCCCCATGTAATAGGGGGTGAGCCTATTGCCATATATACAGGGCACAATTCCAGACTCCGTGCTACTACTGAGAATATTTAAAAACCCAGTAATACTTTGCCCGACCCAGGAATCGAACCCGAGACCCCTTGCCCGGCAGTCGCACTTACGACCACTCGGCCAACGAGGCAGTTTAGTTAAATTATTATACTAAAGTAAAACCTTCTCCGAAATGTAACAAACACTTGTCTGAAAACCATACCAATCATAATCGGTCAAGCAAATCGCAATACTAATAATCACACACAAACGTACATACATACAGGCCAACCTGAGAACTTCCTTCTTTTTTGAAGTTGGTTTAAAAAAGATGCATTTGGCAGCATGTTGGTTCGGCTCCACTGGACAATACTCAAATGAAGTCAGTAGTTAGATTCCAATAGTAGGTAATTTAATAATTTAATACTTTCATTCTAATAATAAGTACCAATGTGACTTTTTCCGAGTTAAATGTACTTTCTAAGATTATTTAGACACCACTGACCAACGGTGAAGGAAAAACATCGTGAGGTAACCTGGGCTTATAATTTCTAATTATAAGTTTGAAATCGCCAACCCGCATTGAGCAAGCGTGGTGATTATTGCTCTAACCTTCTCCATGTGAGAAGAGGCTTTGCTCAGCAGTGGGCATTTATAAGCTGTTGATGATGATGACTTTCATTCTAATGTAGACAATCTAGTTTCCTTATGACATCGAGGATTTCTTTAGTGAAACAAAGAGTTTCCTTTTTCTTGTATAGAAGCACTATTTTATGGATTGTCAGTATGCATATGTGAGCACCATGTTAGACTATAAGATTTTTTATTTTAGTAAGGCTTGTAATTAATACCTATAATGCGTCAAGCGTGTCTTTGCATTGTTCTCACGTATACGCACAGTATTAAAATATGTATCAGAGACATTGCAGAACATACTTTTTTAAAAAGAGTAACGAGTGTAGTTTCTTGCTCGTTCTACTCCATTCGAATCTACATTTTGGAATGAGCACCTAGCTTCACCTAGCTTCACTGACGGACTGACTGACAGACTATTATTTATTTTGTATTTGTTGACGTTTCAAAAGTACCAAATTATGGTTTAATTGAAATAAATGCTTTGACTTTCCATTTTTTAGGAGTAAGTTACGATAATCCTAACCTACTCCTAAAAAATGCTAATACAAAGGAGAATTTTGTTACGTTTAAGTTGGTGGCCTTTATCATATTTGTATCAATAGCTTCACAAATAAAATTACAGTCTACTTCAATTTATTGTAACTACCTCAAACATTAACATCTAGTATAATAATGAATAGACCAGGTCATCACCATTTGGCTAAAGGCCAGGAAGCAAAAACTATAATTTAATACATTCGGAAATAAAACTAAAGGCATTGCATTTTAGGTCATTTATTAAACTGCTCTTGTATTTAATGATGGCGAACGATGTTGACATACTACATTGTAGAAGAAACAATAGCGTACAATGAAACAATTACTGCATTTCTTTTTAAATACAACAACATTACATCATTTGCATCCACACATTTTAACACTTGGTGGCGCCACTATGATTTTTAAAATGGAAAAGGCTTAAGCCCTTTGCTTACGTCCCTGATATGAAACTATCATTAAACGGGACAGTTTAATAATTTATTTCGTTGCATACACAATTAAAATTACATAATAATAATTATTCATAACATAACGTAACATAACATCACGCCTTTTATTCTCGAAGGCAGAGGTGCTCATTATGCCACTGTACAATGTAACACCACTTTTCACTATTTATGTTATGAGTCCCATGTAATAGGGGGTGAGTTATCATATATCATATACCGGGCACAGTTCCAGACTTTGTGCTACTACTGAGAATTTTTAAAAAACCCAGTAATGTTTTTAAATTCCCGGGTCGAGCCTTTGCCCGAATCGAACCCGGCTGTCGCACTTGCGATCACTCGGCCAACGAGGCAGTCGAGAAAGAGAGAGCAGAGCAGAGAGAGAGAAATAATAATTATTATGTACATTTATACGTATTCCTTAAAACTAAACTACATTAACCTACTTACGTTTGCAAAACGTATTGAGAATCGATGATTAGTTATTTTGTACACCGATTAGGTACTTCATTCGTGAGTTATATTTACTGATTTGCTTTTTTCTTTGGTTCTTCATCAGGTTTTCCATTTCATTCAAAACAATAAAGTGGATAATCTTTAAAACTTACTTTTGTCTGTACATGCTTTTATTGTCCATGATCATTTTCATTGTAATTCTGTTTTGACAACGGAAGTAGCCTTATGATCTCGTGGGAATCCGAATAGATAATATTATTAGATTTGTCAAACGTCATACCCAATACTCCTTGCACGTTGATAACTTTCTTAACTTTTTGTACCATTTTAGTGATAACAAATATACCATCCTCGCTACATACATGAACGACCCCATTGTTATCCGTCGCAATCCCCAGAAATCTTGGGTGATCCCTCAGTAATACTGGCGAGGTATCATCTTGCTTAATACCGAACAAACCTGAGCCATTGATAAAGAAAATATTATCCTCTTTATCCAAAACAAATTGATGAACTATATCACCCTTTAGTGCAGGAACGGCTCTTATTGTTCTGTTCTCATAGTAATACGCACTGAGACTTGGAAACTTGATAAAGTATATGTTCTTCTTGATGAACAGCCACCAGATGTCCAAGTTGTTTATGTTCAACCGCTGCAGGGTCTTGCTGACTGCATTGTATTTGTAGATCCCATGGCTGCCTCCGAAGTACATTTCTCCTGTTGTAGGATCATTGGCTATAGCAAACGCGTCCTTAACCCCTTTTAATACATTTAGATTTTTGCTATCCATATGGAGTATTGCCGGCACGTACTCTCCTTGTCCGAAATCAAAGCTGAAGTATAGCGTATTGGTGGCTTTGTCCACGGACAGTTGGTTGGGGCTGTGTGCAATGGTCGTCAAAGTTTCTTTCACGAAGCAATGCTTTGTCGGGTCAGAGGAAACCACGTCACAGAATTTAGTCCTAGCCTTTGCCTCGATACTCACTATTATAAACACTAGAGGGTACAGTTTCATCTTCTGTTTTAAATGTCCAACAAACGCGAATTGGTTTCACGATCAGGAATTATTGGGTCCAAATGAGGTTGCACTTTTATGGAAGCGGGAATAGTTTGAACGTTAACCGACGCAAATTACATCAGTTTTAAACAGAAACGTGCTGGAATTTTATACTGGTTGAACGTATTTGCACTTTATAAAGTCCGCCGGTATTTTACGTAATATTTGAAAGCACCACTTTTTACTGCATTAAGTGAAAATATGTTTCTTATTTTTGGAGTTTTTGCAGGGCACGTGTGTACTGTGTGCGGTTTGAGTAACAATCCAACAATGTGTGGATGTGTTGGATACAGAATTATTACTGTTCATACAAACAATGAAAGTATTTGTAAATATTGAAGTTAATAAGATGTTTAGTAATATAATTGTTTGAACGGCGAGTGCTATTGAGTGTCGTGTCTGATGAATGGAACTGATTCATAAGTTTATTATAATTATGTGTAATCGACGATATGAGTGGACTTGACTTATGACCTTGTTGTCTTCTTTGAGAAATGTCGGTGTTATGACAGTATTACCTTTGTTGTACTACGTATAAGCTGTGGTATGTGTCGATACACTGTTTCATTCAGTGATTATTACCGCATTCATTGAAGAATCTCTGTGTGATCTCTGTGTCAGCTCACTCTGAAGTACTATCAGGCTGATCTATTGCAAAATACTAATAAAGCATAGACTGGAATAATGTCTGTAGTATCGTAATAAACTAAATTTCGAATACAAGGAATTTAGTGGAATAATTGTGGTGAATTCATGAGTGATTAGTTAACTTGTCTTTGTAGGAATATTCCTAACTGTTGACTGAACTTATCTAAATAAAACTGACTAAACAAAACAGACTAAACTTAACAAAAACCATAAGTGTCACCTCATTTATGAAAAAACCTGTTATTTTCTACACACAATAATTATGCGACCGTATTCCAACCCAATAAAAACATCATAATAACGTCGAATGATGACTTATTCATAAATATAATGCGTAAAAAGGCGTATCGCGTAATCTAAGTGATAAAAATCAGCGTAAAACGTAAACTATTTACGGGTTTGCTGTCAAAAGTCGCGCCGTAAAATGGCCCGTGGAGTTAAATAGGCTCGCTTGTGTAGGTTATGGGTCTTTACTCATTCGTGATTGGTTCATTTGGAATAAAAATTAAACCATCATTTAGAACTCATTGGTACCTATCTGAACGATCCTGTTTTTTTCAGTTTTATTATTATTATAAGTTCAGTATATTTCAACCGAAAACTATATTTAAAGATCATAAAAAAATATTATACGTACTCTATGCAAAGCGAAAGGACAATATCCAAAATGGCCCTGTGTAATAAAAAGTATCAGAATATACGATTATTAATCCCCTATTTTATAATATAAGTTGCAAATGCTAGCTGTATTCCAAAATGTACTTTTAATAGAATTTAACGCGATTAATAACATTAGATCGCCATCTTCGTCTAACGTCAAATGCCTTCGCCTAATGTAATTAATAATAGTCGTCGTAAAAGGTAGTAAGAATAATATTATATAGTAATCAAAACTTCTTTACTTCTATACAATCATTGAAACATTCAACTTTCGTTCAAATATTTGTTGTTATGATTAGATTATAACCTCAAAACCTGATACTTTTTTTAAAATTTATCTTTTCTGCAGATAGTCTGCTATAAAAATAGATCTTCTAGGAGTCTAAAAATGATAGGGAATACAAAACATAATAATGCGATACTCTTAGTTCCAGGGCCAACAATGTATGGACGCAGAGCAATGTCCTTTAAAGGATTTACTTTAAAAACTAGAAAAGAAAAAAAAAAACAGTGTGACCAATTACTGAAGTAGTCTTTGCTCATTTTTAAATAGTTATTGTGTGTTCGAATTACGAATCAAACTCAAAGCAATTAAAACTAAATTTAGAACAACACTTATTAACAAATTTTAGTAAAAACACAAACCCTTATTAGACAAAAAGGTTCGTAACTCACGTCCAAATTAAATTGGGAATTTAATTACTACGTGTGAGGAGAAATCTGTGTGCTCGGGGAGACGTAACTAGATTCAGAAGATTTGTATGTAAAACAAGAACACGCTGTAGCTTTGAACGTTGTTAACGGAAAATGCTTTGGTTTTATTGTGTTTAACATGTAATTAGTTTACGCCATATTGTTTTCTTGTACATTTCATATTTAATGATGGAAGGACAATGAGTAAAGGTTCTACTTGTGACAAAGAATGCTTAATACTGTTGGTATTTGATTGACCCATAACATAATATTACATTTAAATTGTTTATTGTTTTACTTAGTTTAACTAGTCCCATTGTTATTTAATTATAATAATGTCGTTCGTTCATCTTTTAACATTCCCACCAATGGTTGGCAGGTCATAACTGTGCGCTTCTCACGTAGCTCTCTGCCTCGCACATCAAAACTGTGGAATGATCAGTCTGTCGTCGGCGGTATTTCCGAACCGATACGACCTTCAGACCTTCAAGAAAAGAGCTTACTCCTTTTAAAAAGGGCGGCAACGCACCTGTGGCTCCTCTGGTGTTGCGGGTGTCCATGGGCGGCGCTGATCACTTACCATCATTTGATCCGTCTGCTCGTTTGCCTCTTATTCCATAAAAAAGCAGATGTATATTAAACTGCATATACACCTACACTATAATACACATTTTTAGTCTGCTATATTATGTTATGAGTCTTATATGAACAAATCGGACACAATATCAGATTACGTCCTCCTTCCTTCTCTATCGTTTCGCTCTTGGCAAAGCGATCGTGGTCACGTTGAGGCGGCCGTATTTGTGTTGGAGGCGGATACAGCTTGGATCTCCTGCCATCTCTCCCTGTTTGTGGATTGACTGTCGCAGTCTGACACTGGGTTTCCTGTTGTTGATTTTACTTGATTAGTTCAGCGCGTAGGTGATCTATCTGACCTAGTTTCCTCTACTTTCTAGTACGTCTTATTACTGAGAAAACAATATTCCTATGCTAAACCCCCAGATATTAAATCAGACACCTCAGACCTCTTGGTTAAAGAGTAACACTTCTGACCACCTAAACAACGAGACAGTCTCCCTAAAATCAAATAACTAGTGAAAATACATTACAATTATATTCAGTGCCAAAAAATTAACCTACATTTTATAACGAACAGAAAAATCACCTTGAAAGTTAAATAAAACCTCGGAAACACCTTAAATACGTGTCATCCATAAATTAGAGCAATAAAAAAGATTGAGAGCGAACAGTTTTTGGTATTATTCGATTCTGTCCCCAATAGAATGGGTGAAGTTGGTAACATTCCGGGGAATTGTCAAATTGTCGCCATAAAAATTCTTAACACTGACGTTAGGTAATTTTATTAGGTTGTAAAACAGTACGTAGGCAAAATACAGAGTCTTGTTAAATACTTGATTGAATTGGCGGTTGATAAATCTGATAGAATTTCGGTTGAAAGTACCTACGATTAATAATTTCATCGATTTTCTATTACATCAACTGAAAATGATATATACCCTACATACTACCAGAGCCATGAGAAGCGAAAGTAGATGACTGTTTCGCGGCTTCGTCCGCATGCCCGGGGGATAAAATGTAGCTTATGAGTCATCCCAGACTATTTACCTAATTCCTGTTTCAAATTTCATCCCGATCCCTTCAGCCCTTTTGACACACACAAAATCATAAAATTTCACATTTATATTGGTAAGAAAACTGATCAGATTATTTTCTAACCTATAGCAAAACAACTTACCCCATTTATGAACTAACTAGCGAACCCGGCAAACTTCGTACTGCCTAAATATTTTTTCTCTCCTTCCCTGGACTTCCACGAATATTTATTAGCCAAATCGGTTTAGCTTATCGTTCTCGAGTATTAGCGAAACTCATCATCATCATCAACAACCTATAAATGCCCACTGCTGAGCAAAGCCTCTTCTCACACGGATAAGGTTTGAGCATTAATCACCACGCTTGCTCAATGCGGGTTGGCGATTTCAAACTTATAATTAGAAATTATAAGTCCAGGTTCCTCACGATGTTTTTCCTTCACCGTTTGTCAGTCGTGTCTAAATAATCTTAGAAAGTACATACACACCACGACAGATCACCCTACTATCGCCCCTTCTAAACACTGAAGTAAGAAATTCATATGTTTCTACCTTATTCCTGTAATATTCTAACAGATAGGTAAGAGTAATTTTATTTTACCTGGATAGAAAATAACATTGATGATATTGCTAATTCCGCAGAAATATACAGAATAAGTGCTTCTGACTAGTTTGTTGTTGTAGTACTCACAAACACGAGTGCTGAAAGAGCAAAATATTATTAAATTTTTCGAATGCCAATTTCGCATTTCTAGTAAACTTTTCTGTACACAATTTTTACCGAGTCTAGCAGTTTTCCTTCTTACTGGACAAAAGGTATATTACTCCGTTCAAGGTACACGTGTAGTTGTATTACGAATATAGTATTACACATAACTTCACGCCTTTTATCCCAAAGCGGAAGAGTAATATTAGTTTGTTTTAGCTCTTTTGGGAACTTAGTATAGATATTTAGGGAACAGAGAGTAAAGTTCCCTAAATCGGAAAAGGAGGATCCTCCGACCAGGCGAGGTGATCGTGCCAGGCTTTCTGCCCAACAGTTGTTCATTGGGATATTCTATTCGCTTATAAACTTTGCATGTGCGATGTAGGATTTTTGTGACGTCATCCGTTGACATGTACCATGTGTCGCCACAGATAGTTGGAGACAAATTGATCTTCTTGCGAACTCCCTTTGGATCGGCATTCTGGAAATTGTATAGTTTACATTAATTCCTACTACTACTCCTGGTACCAAATAATATGTATTAGTAATTTAAATACGACAGAGTAAGCTCTCAGGAATGTTGCGTGCGTGTATCAGACAGCTGAACAAAACAGTCGAGCCGGATAAGTTAGATTAGT